TGTCACATAGGATGTATGATAAGCTCAGGGGAATGCACATAGATGAAGGTGGCTCCAGAAGTCTGGGTAGCGATCACAAACGTATCAAGCTAAGTTTTGAAAGAGCAGTGAAAGTGGGAAGGAGACAAGATGAGCAACTACAGGAAAATTTTTATCCAGAAAGGCAAATTGAAATAGCCACTAAACAAATTGAGAAAGTAATCACGGAGGATAACAAGACAGTGTGGACATACACGAATCTAATTAGACTCTTTGAGCTAGAGCTTGTTAAGACGCGTGACAAATCACCCCGGAAAAGAAGACACAAACCCAAAAGTTGGTGGGATGAGGAAGTTAAGAGAGCCATAGCAAAACGTCAGGAAGCCTCTAGGGAACACAGACATGCTAAGCAGCGGGGTGAACCGACAGATGATGTTGAAAGAAAATGGGCAACCTTTCTAAGCTGTAGAAGGGATGCATCCCTTCTGATCAATGAAAAGATTAGAAGGAAGGGAGCTCAGTGGCTGGCAGAAGTACATAAAAAAGATAGAAAGGCAGCTGCGAAATTTTGGAACCATCTACACTCCCTAAGAAATGAGACGAGCCCAGAGCAGAGTTTTATAACTACAGCCCAAGGTGCTAGGCTAGAAGGGGACGAAGCTATTGAATATATAAGAACAAGGGTGACAGAAAAGTTTCAACAAAGAAGTACTTTATGCACCACAATAGACAAGGACGAATCAAGTGGTGCAATGGCTCCATTTTCACAACAAGAGTGGGAAAGGGCTGAGAAAAGGGTTCCTAGTAGTACATCAACAGGCCCAGATGGCATTCCAATTAGGCTGATAAAGACATTAGGTCCGAAGTCTAAGCAGGCTTTGAGAGAGGCAGTGAGCAAAATAATAATCGATGGTGAAGTTCCCAATGGATGGAAACTTAGCAGGATGAGCATGATCTATAAAGGAAAGGGGGAAAAAGCTGACATAAACAACTACCGTCCTATAACAGTGACATCAGTGGTCTACAGGCTGGCGATGCAAATTATAAAGGAAAGACTGCAGGCGTGGATAGAGGATGAGGGGGTGCTGGGGGAACTGCAGAATGGGTTTCGGAAACACAGGAGGTTGGAAGACAATCTGTTCTCACTGACGCAGTGCATCGAAATAGCAGAAAAGGAACACAGGCCCCTGTGGCTAGCATTTTTGGATATCAAGGGAGCGTACGATAGCGTGGTTCAAGAGGAATTGTGGGGAATACTGGACACACTAGGCGTGGAACATGTAGTCACTAATCTTTTAAAGGGTATCTATAAAGGTAACAAGGTAGTTATAAAGTGGGAAAAACAGGTATCCAAGCCTGCAGAGGTAAAACGGGGGCTTAGGCAGGGGTGCCCCCTGTCACCCTTATTATTCATGATGTACCTACAAGGATTAGAGGCAAAATTAGAGGGAAGTGGACTGGGCTTCAACCTCTCTTTAGTCAAACAAGGAAAACTTATTGATCAGGCACTACCAGCATTAATGTACGCAGATGATATAGTGCTAATGGCCAACAACAAGGAAGATTTGCAGAGATTGATGGACATCTGCGGTAATGAGGGAGATAGGTTAGATTTTAGATTCAGTAAGGAAAAATCAGCAGTCATGATTTTCAATGACAACGAAGGTAGTGAGCTTAGAATGCAGGAGGTGACGCTAGAGATAACAGATAAATACAAATATCTGGGCGTATGGATAAGCAATGGGACCGAGTATCTGAGGGAACACGAAATATACGTGACGACTAAAGGTAACAGGAATGCAGCAGTCATGAAAAATAGGGCACTGTGGAATTACAATAGGTATGATGTTGTGAGAGGAATATGAAAAGGGGTCATGGTTCCTGGGCTGACGTTCGGCAATGCGGTCTTGTGCATGAAATCAGAAGTTCAAGCAAGATTAGAAATTAAGCAACGTGGAATAGGTAGGCTTGCTTTAGGAGCTCACGGGAATACAACAAATCAGGGAGTACAAGGTGATATGGGATGGACATCATTTGAGGGCAGGGAAGCTAGCAGCAAGATAAAATTTGAGAAACGATTGAGAGAAATGGGGGAAGAGCGTTGGGCTAGGAAGGTTTTCAGCTACTTGTACATGAAGAATGTCGATACAAAATGGAGGAAGCGAACCAGGAAGTTGACTGGTAAATACTTAGAAAACAGCAGGTGGCCAAACCAAAAAGAACTATCGGTTAAGAAGAAAGTGAAGGAAACGGAGACTGACATGTGGAGAATGGGCATGATTAAGAAGTCCGCACTAGAGATCTATCGAACTTTTAAGCAGGAAATTGCCAAGGAAAGGATCTATGATAATACTCGGGGTAGTTCTCTACTGTTTGAGGCCAGGACGGGAGTACTGCGAACCAAGACATATCGGGCCAAATATGAAGGGGTAGATACAGTATGCAGTGCGTGTGGAGAGGAAGAAGAAACTGTCGAACACTTGATAATGTTCTGTAAAGGGCTTCACCCTATAGTTCAGGATGATGACGCAGAGTTCTTCAAAGCACTGGGGTTTAGGGACCGGGAGGGCAAAATAAACTTTAAGCGGGTAGACTTAACCAGAAGGAGGTTATCTGATTGGTGGCTAAAGTCAAGACACGAGTGAAAATTAAACTCTTCACTGCAAAGTACGAATCCTCAAACTCACTTTTTAAGGAAAAAAAATAAATATGGTTTTTGGTTCACCGCCCGATCTAAAGGGTACAGCCATATCCATCCATCCATCCATGTGTTAGCAAGCCCTCCATGGTTTTGTCCGAGAAGGAACGCAGGTTCCTCGAAGGATTCCGTGCGTGCAGGCAGCTTTGCCTTTTTGTTTCGGTTTCTTCTAGGTTTTTCTTTGCTGTTTTTCAGTGCCTTTGTATTTGTGTTGTTTGGTTTGGTTTTTCTTACTCATGTTCTGCTCTTGTGCCATATGGTTTTTATCACATGGTCACTGTCTCCTCTATATATTTTCGTGCTCTGCGCAATAAACTCAGTTGGAAGTTAGCGCTCGTGTCTTTCGTGTCCTTCTTGTCTCTGTGTCGTCGTTTTGTTCTCGCGCTATAACTATCGTCATGCCATACCAACTAGCCCAAGCTGCCACACTTCTAAGATGCATTTTCCGGTTCGGCGCTTTGTTTGAATAGTCGGGAGTCTCTAGCGGTACGTCTAGACATAACAATAAAAGCCGTTAAAATTACGTCCAAACGAAAAAGTGAACAAAAATGTTATTTAGGTTTCGCGTGACAATAATACAAAACAGGCTTGTTTGTCACCTCAAACCGATCGGCAGCTGTGGTGTAGTTGGTTAAAGCAACACATGAGCTGGTGAGGTCGGTGGTTCAAATCTCATTGCAGTTATCGATACTATTCTTTTTTTTTTTTGTTCACGCATGTGAACAACATTTGCGCCTCCTCATCAGCCCAACTTGCTGGTGGTGGTGGTCCCGTCCACAGGCCCTTTAATATTGGATCTTCGATGACGCTTGCAGGATTGACTATATTTATAATGATAAAGTGTTTTGCGAATTAGTGCTCTTAATCGGCGAGACGCAAAAAGCCACAAAAACTCGAATGCAGCTGGCTGCATTGGTTTCTTAAGCACATGTGTCAGCAATGTTGATTTCCACGGTTTATCAAAGTCTTGATGACAGAAAGGTGCACCGCAACGTAGTCTTGGGCAACTTTTTTTATGTCGCTCAGTGTACCATCACCTGGCGAGGTAACCGGCAGGCCGCTTTCTTTAAATATACTGACGTGTCACCGCAATGTTCTCGGCGATCAGCACTTGATAAACAATGCCCAAGGGCAAGTGCCGACGGCGTTAGCCCATCTAACTACTTGTCTGCGTTGCTCAAAAACACGCGCGGTCTGTGACAGCACGGGAGCATTCACGTAGCAACGGATGAGAACGGCCGTACGTGTTCGCACTTGACAAAACAGGCGGCAATGCAGTATCTCTGGCCTTCGGAGATCACAGGCTTCGTAAGAATATTACAATAAAGTTGTTTCCATCCATCGTATGAACAGTTCGCCGACGCACTGGGGTTTCATGCATGTGCGTCCGGTCAGTCACACGTGAACCGTGCGAAAGCATTCATTTCATCTTGTCTTTCGCGACAAGCGAAACTCGGCAGCAAGAACACTTTCTCCTTTGACAACACCACGCTTGGCATTGCAATCTAGAAAATGCAGTACGTCCAACGACTGTAATCCGCACATCATACTGAGAAACTTAATGGCGCACACACTACGATGAAGCTGCGGCGCGGTGGACGGCCGCGCTAGCTCCAACCACCAGGTTCAACTAAGCAACCAGCAATCACATGAAGCAGCGACGACACTCCAGTCCTCCTTGGGAGTGGCCTAGGCCATGGCCAAGATTTCATCGGAGTTTTCACCATCAACACATCGCAGGCGGCTACTATCTTGCAGTGTTTACCTTTAGCCGCAGCGCCCGTGGCGCCCCCTGACTTCAAAATACTTGTAATTTGTATTTAAATAACAAACCTGAACTATTTGACTCGTTAAACACCTTTTTAATAAAAGTTTTGTAGGTTTAACGCAATACAAACGAATAGTTTACACATTTATCTAGCTTTAGGTAATAATTTTTTAAGTGACGTCTTTTTCGTGCGGCGCAGAAGCCAGTTTTGTGTGGAGATGGCTGCTGCGCCGCGCGGCGCAGGAGACGCTGCCTAAGAGTTTTTGTATTTGGCCTTTAAGATTGGCAATTTTGGCGTTTGCTACTAATTTTAGAGAATGCTTTGTATTAAAAAAGTTGCTTCCTGAATGACGGCGTCACTTACTTAGGGTTAAATATAATTACATTTACACTTTTCAAAACTTTTTTACGTTATTTTTGTTGCGTATAAACTCTCAAAACGTAAAAACCTATTTGAAGACACCCCCTACTTGAGTTGCGCCACCACCGTAGTTCCGACGACCGCTGCTTCCCAAGTGACCACCGATAATCTGGCAGGCACACGGAGGAAGGACGTGGGCAGGCACAAGAACTCTAGGAGGCGTTGGCCGTACCAATCCATCCATTCATTCATGCCACAAACATGGCCGCCTCCAAGCCGGTAGTAATCGCACCTTGCAGAGAGTTTCCGGATGAGATTAAGGAACAGTCCCGGGCGTTTCATTCAGCTCTGCTAAACGTTAAAGAGACTCTCAGCCCGATTCTGGCGGCGAGTCAGGAGGTTGCGACTGAAGAGGTGCGTAGTACCTCCAATACAAAATGGTGTTGGGACGTTTCCGTTGCACACTTTGGTTGTGCATTGAGCGACTTTATCGTAACTGCATGTCAAACCGGGAGCATTGTGTGCTGCTCGCACGCCTTGTGGCCCGCTAGGGTATGAACTGGAAAGATTTGATTGGTCTGCGTCGATCCTTCGGACTGAAGCACATTCTTGCGTATTGTTATGCCTATGTCTTTCGTGCCGCCACAGCGGGGTGCTCACCTTCAGTAGAAACGAAAGTATTGTACGTGTCGTCCGAACACGTTGCAGCGTGACCGCGAGGCGCCAGCGTGCATGAGAGACGACGTAGAAGTTTTATTTTCGACCACCTGTACTTGTGTGGGGTGGGCTGGTGTTGAACAGCTCACGGGCATGCTTGAACCTCGTTTGTGTGAAAATTAAACCAAATAGGCTAGGTTTTGGTCGCGCAGCATTGATCTTGATGTCTGTTGACGATTTTTATGTATACTAGAATATTAACTCTTGTGTTACACCTATTCAAATCGATCACCGGTAATTAACGCTTTTCGGTAATCGATTTTGGCATAATAAATTTATTTCTCGTGCACCCAGAACTTTCTAGCAGTCAGTTCTGCCACTCAACTTTCAGAATTTTTTTTTTTTTTTTGAAATTGCTGACTTGGGCAACATAGCGATTTTTCACAGACTTTTGCGCGAACCAATGTGCGTGTGTATTTGGAAAAACGCACTAGGTTGGCGAACTCGACAGAAGTGCGTGCCCCTCGTGATTATGCTGCGGTAACATCGAAGTTCTGTAATGAAAAGAAACTTTGCAAGCCAAATATCGAATTGATGTGTTAGCTTCGCAATTTGACCGAGTTGATCAGTGATAATTGTCGGAAATTTATGAGAGCTGTTGCTAGAAATCAGGCAAAATTAATTCTACAAACAATATTTCCCAAGGTCCGCCGCATGTCTAAAGTGCGCAGGTAGCTCTCAGTGGCTCTCACAGGCAGTTTCCAGCCGCTTAGGTTCTGCTTGAATCATTATATCAGACACAGGGTCACATCTAGTGCCACTAATCACTCCTATAACGTGGTCGTCACGCGCGCATGGGTGCGCACTAGCGCTGCAAAATAGATGTACTGCTTGAAACTCTCTTGCGACCCCACCTGAATTGGGTGAAAACGAGCTTAGATTTCGCGGATGACCGCACCTCAGCTTCAAGTTTTATGGGAACGATGTTTTGTGTCAGCCTGAGACTTCCGTAGCTGTTCATGGGTTTGTTTTGTTTACACCCTCAAGTTATCTCCGCCGCCACAAGTGCGTATAGCTTCTGACCTTTGTGCATAATCTTATAGTCACTCAAGTTACGCGCGGGGTCCACACTTCGCTAGGGCGCGTTGTGGTGGTGCTGGCTGCAGAGCTTCTCCAAACGGCAAGAAGGCCCTCGGAGCACATCTTGGCCCTGATTACGGAGCAGTGCGAAACATTTTAGAACTGCACGCGATATTGTCCTTTCTTTATTACGATGTGCACAAAGATGGAAAGAAATATGCTTGGATGCATATATTGGAACGCCAACCTACGAGGAGTGAGGTGGCTCATGGAAAGAGGTGACACTAAATGAAATCGTGAAGTTCGTTGGACATCTTATATATAGAGGGATCATTCACATCACGGGTTTCCATCTATACTGGAATACTTAGCGACTCTTGTCACAAGGCAATGAGAATTTATTGAGAGAGTGTACAAGTACACTTGTGTCTCCCGAAAAACTATGCTGTGCTTCATCGCATGGCATGAGCAATGAAGCAGCACCTCAGTTCTGATTTTCGTTGTCTATGTGAAGAGAAACATTTTCTACAACATTAATTATTTTTATGCTATTCCTGGGTCATTTATCTACAAAATGTATATTCTGACTTTTCTTTGTTTTAAATATTTTGCATATATAGTGTTTTTATTCCACTGTTTACCTGTTTACCAGCTGGTGACGAAAAGTTTCACACTTTTTCCATTTTTATTCAGTCTGAAATATTTTTGTTGCTCCACAACCTATATTTTTTGGAAAGAGCATTTCATTCTGCAAAGTTTGGTATGCTGCAATGCTTGTTGGAGTACTTTTCAAACTGGCAAAAACGATCTTCCCGAGATATATTGTAACAGGGAGCGTTATGAAAAATAACCATTCTTGCGTGGTAACGAAAGAGTTAAGAATCCTCCCGACTTTTGACGTAGTTACCTAAGAAACAGGTTTCATGCACACAAGGCTATTGCGCATAACAATGCCTAAATTCTCATTTGCAGTGCCTCTATGGCTCATTATAGAAGTCAGACTCTGTCCAGGCGGCGCTGTGCAAATTGCAGTCTCCAGTGCCCTCATCGCCGCGCCAGCCATAATTGGTAGTAGCCGTCCCAACCGAATGTGCATAGGCCCTCCTCTTTTGTTTGTATTGAGACGCAGTTTCCTGAAAATCTTCCTTGTTCCTTCAACAGAAGCTCGCTTCATAAAAGTAGGAAGCTCATCAAAACAAAATGCAGGCAGAATGCAAAATATGTTTAATTTATTTTGGTGGGCTGCACCTGGCAATTTAAGTGAAAGTGAGCATTGCATGACATCGAGTTCGGGGCAAGCACTAAACGTGGGTATACACACGATGCCAAAGCGGTGAAGTGCATTAACGAACAATTTATGCGGTCAGTGGTATGAAGCTCGCTTAATCTGGCACAAACTGCCGTGGCGATTTTTGCTTTGCAGTTGCATTTTCCATCAATTTCTCACTTGCTGTGTGTTTAATTCTATTATTACGCATGCTCGAATGCTCTGTTGATGGTTGTCTTCCGTTTGTATGTACTGCAAATGGGGATACATGCGTGTCCCCATTCTTAGTGTACAACGAAAGGCCATATTGATACCTCCGAGGTCGCTCTGGAAATCCCGAAGTCCAATGGAAAAAAAAAAACTGTTTGTGGTCACGATCATTTTGCGATTTACCTGTATGACGTGCGTGTTTGCATTTCCTTGTAAAAGCCGGCACTTAGCTACTTAGATACTTCAAAGCCCTAGTGTGTGTAATGCTGTGTGGTGGCAATAACTTCAGATTATCGGTGGTCCCTGTGTGCACATGCGATGTTTATCGTGGCTTGGCATCACCTGTCTACTGTTGCGCTTCGCGCACAGCGGTCAGAAGGTCTGTTAAGCTTCATAATCATAGATAATACGGTTTTTCATCAAGGCTACTCAAAAGAATAAAAAGATACCTACATTACCACACTTAATCAAGCGAACGCCTGTGGAGAACACGAGTATTCGCTTACCCAACACTTTCGCAACGGCCTGTATTTAGCGCTCTTGCCATTCGGGTTTGTGAAAGCTGCAGAAATCAATAAAACTGAAGTCACCTATGTCCTGGCAATTCCCAATGCAAAAGTAGCACAGATTGGGGTCTTCTTTTCGTAGAGTGCGGAGCTGTTGCGTCTGCTCTTGTTTTCGCCGTCGTTCCGGCGAGTGAACCAGCAAGCACTTCACGGTGGTTCCGTGACGTGTCTGACTAGCGGAGATAAATACGTAGCTCTTTTTCTTAGCGTTCAATGCTCAAATAATCTAATATGTAGCTCAATAGTTGTTTCGTACGCTGTAGTTGGACCAGGTTGCTCAGGAAACTATGCAAGAGAGTCGGGCCTTGCACTGCTCAAAACTGTGGCAACAGGTGGTGCTGAGTGTTCACACAACTCCAGAGTCTGACGTCTATATGAACACAGCTAGTGGTCCTGCCGCATGTTGCCTCCCGCTATTTATTCTTTTTTCTGCTCCAAGCCGTACTTCCCCGCAATGGAGTTATCATGACACATTGCGATGGTCACCAGTTCACCTCACTGTTGTGGAACATAAAGCCCCTATACCTTCGGAAAAGTACAGCGTTTTTTAATCTGTGTCGCTTCCTCCTCACACCGGCTCGAGAGCAGACTGCAAGCTCATGGCGTGTTACAGGGACGGCACTGTCGCAAGCGAAAGAAAAAAAAGGAACGTGCCGGAGAGGAGGTGGCGAGGAGGAGAGCAGATGGCGGTACTTTTGTGAAGTATAGGGGCTTTAGGGGAACACTTCATGGTTCTTGATGAGCTTCTGAATTCGTCTCTTCACTGTCCATGAGAAATGGTGTAGCCAAACATCATGGGAAAACAAGTCATCAAGAAATGCAATAAATTTCCATGTGGAATTCAAATCACCTTTTAATCCTGTATGACGCGAGGCCAATCCATTCTTTGCTAAGCTGAAGATTGCACACCTATCTTGCCCTGTATCCTAAAAACATTGCAACACTTCCTGAAGTAGCCTGTTGGTCTTTGCATTATGGATCGCCAAGACGAGTCCCAAGCTATTGCGGTTCATGGGCTTGACACTCTCTTTACTGCTGACCATGCTGTTACAAGGCTGTATTGCTTTTCAAGCCTTGTTTAGTGAGAACTATAGTGGAATCTAGAAGTGCATGTTGTTGGGCTAGTCGGTTGATGTTCAATTAGAAGCCATAGATGTTGATACGTCATGCAAATAAATCGAGGGAAGGGTTCATGAAAAGCACGAACTTTCGACTGTTTATTCTGAAATTACTGCCGTGCAATACATATGCAAATGCTTGCACGAAAAGCAAGCCACACATCAAAGAGATAACGCATAGTGTAATGCAATACATGCGCAAGAGGAAAGGCCCACATCGATTGGATAACATCTTAATCACTACCTGCGATCCAAGAACCTGCTCTCTGCCTCCAAAAGGAACAATGAAGTGTCACTAATTCATAAGGAACCTCGTGCTTTTATGTGAAAAGCTTCGAACAGTTCTTGTGCAAATGTGTCCCTGCTTCTCCCCAGCATCTGAATTTTATTCAGATACGGCTCACATTTTTGGGAATGGTAGCGGGCCGGCAAGTGTGCCCCATCTTTACCATTTAGTGACAGCTTTTATTCCCTGTTAACCCTTCCCTAATTATTTCTTGGCACAGCGTAGCCACA